GTTTTCTTAGACATCTCCATATGTATCATATTTTCCTTGTATATCTCAAATTTTTATTTTATTATTAATTAATTAATTTTAAAAGAAATTTTATTTATTTACCTGAGGGAGAGAGAGCACAAGGGGGAAAGGGACAAAGGGAGAAGCAGACTCCCCACCGAGCAGGGAGCCACGCACGGGGCTCAATCCCAGAACCTAAAGATCATCATCTGAGCTGAAGGCAGATGCCCAACTGACTGAGCCACCCAGGGGCCGCACGAAAATTTTTAAAAACATTACTTTAAATTTACATTTCTTCTTCAGTGCATTCTAATATTTAAGTCAGCAAGAGTCAATATTTGAAAAATGCGGATCCAGCTTTTTCCATTTTGAATTTTCCAAGATTATTTTCTTCCTTCAGTGAAGCCTTCTGGGAGTACTGTTCAAAGAAGAGCTCAGTGAGGGCAGAACACAAGCTCTGGCGCACTCTTTAGCGGAGAGGGTTGACTGAGGGATTTTGACTGGCATTTTGCGGCTTTAATCAGGAAATGAGAGGCTGCCCCAAGATGACACTCCAGGGACTTTCGACAAGAAGGTGGAGGCCCCTGGGTGTGGGCATCACTTCACTGGCTTGCTCCATGCTTCTCTAGTTCAAGGAGGGGACTTTGTGAGGTGACCATGACAGGCTGGAGGTTTGAGGTGACTTTTTTGGGGCATCTCACCAGTAGGTCCCAAAGATGCTTCCTCATGATTGAAGTAAAAACAAGACAGAACGAAGTCCAGCCACCGGACTCTTGAGTTCTCCTGCTAATTGGTTCAGGTAAGTCACAAAGGAAAGCAACAAAGGATATGAAAATATCATTGAGGAGGGTGACACTCTCAAAAAAGCAGGAGTTTCCTGCCATCTTACCTCACAAAGAACACTCATTTTGACAAGGACCACAGAGGAGAGTGCCATGGTGGGGATCTGGGAGTCTGATGGAGGACACCAACCTGAGACTGGATGCACTAAACGGGGTAAGAGGGACAATTTCACTTCACCTGTGACTCCCTCAGCCAAGGGCCAAGAGGGCCCTTCTCACCAGAGATTTCTTCAGAAAGAAAAAGTGAGAGTGTGGGAGTGGGTGTCTGGCTTTCCCAAGCATATGTGACACTGCTTGATTCCCCACCCAGAATGCTGAGGGGGGCACAGAGAGGGGCCCCGGGGTCAGGGCAATGGCTGCCACGGCTCGCAGATGGAGGGCAACAATGGGACTGGAATCCTACTAACTGCTTTGCAGACTCAGTCAGGAGGGTCACCTTGCCTGTGACTCTCCCCAGCTGGCTGTCAGGCACCCCCAGTGCTGCATACATCTCATCCTGCACACCCCCACTCTGTGGCTGGTGCTCCGTGTGCCCCGAGGGCACTGAATTCCAGCCTTTGTGGATGCTAGTGAGTCTGATTGGGAAGAAGCTCACAGAGCCGAGCACTTAAGAACATGCAATCTTGAGCATTCCTTCCCAACAGCGGACAAAAGGTGTGAGGCAGGGGTAACTGTAGAAAAGGTCTGCACAGCCTTGGGATCCCTCACGGAGCAGATAAGAAGGATTTCTCTCCTGCCATCAGTCAGGAAAGCCTGGAGTAGGGGACTGCTTCTTCAAATGGGAAGACTTCAAGAAACAGGAAAAACGAGGAAATATACCAAAGGTTAAAACAATTCAGAGACAGTATGATAAACCTATAAATCTCTGAATCTTTTAGAAAAATGAGACAGACAAGCCCGTCTTTCTACCTGGACCCCACTCAACGGTTCTACTAGTTCAGCAGAGGCAGAAAGTTTTAGTGGTTTGGGGGTTAATAAGTTTAAATAACCTTAAAGATGGTCTCATATAACAAAATGTTGCCGAACATGAGATAGAGTCAGAAGAATCTGCCTTATTGACTTTTGTAATTGAAATGAATCCATTGCAAGTTTTTCCGAACCAATTGGTAAACATTTTTTTCAGAGTGACTTGCATTCGTAGACTAGATTTAATGTTTTTTTTTTTTAAAGAACATTTTGTGTAAGTCTAAAACATGTCTTTTTTTAATGAAACTTTTCAGTTGGGATAAGTGCAAATTCAGCTCTGAATCGATAACTTCTAGTTAAACTAGACTAGCCAGACTAAACCAGGACTTGACAAACTTTAGCTAGTAGGCGAAATCTGGCTTATCACCTGATTTATACAGCCCCAGAGCTGAGACTAAAATTTTTAACGGATGGAGAAAAAGAAAAAAAATATATTTTGAGGCATGTGAAAATTATATGAAACTCAAATTTCCATAAAAAATGTTTTCTTGGAACATGCAAAAAAATAAAGCATAATTTAAGGCTATTTGACCATATTTATTACAATTTAGGGGCACCTGGCTGGCTCAGCTGGTGAAGCATGTGATTCTTGATTGTGAGTTCAAGCCCCAATACTGAGCATAGAATTACCTTCAAAAAAAAAAAAAAAAAAAGCAATTCAGCAATTTCACTTTTTCTTACAAATATGCTCACCTGGATGTGTACATTTTATATATAGGACATTCCTTACAGCATTATTTATAATGGTAAAACACAGAAACAACCTCATTGCTCATGAATTGTGTCTTGGTCGTACACATGAATGCTATATGGCCAGTAAAAAGCCCGGCAATGGATCTGTAGGTATACAGTAATCCCTAGGGGTATTAGTTTCCTATTATTGCAGTAACGAAGGACCACAAACTTGGTAGCTTAAAACAACTTTATTATAATCCATATACAGAGGTTAGAACTCTAGAATCGGTTTTACTGGGCCAGAGTCAAGGTGTTTCTTAATTCCTTATGGAGCCTCCAGGGAAGAACCCTTTTCTTTGTCTTTTTAGCTTTTAGAACTGCCTGTGTTCCTTGGCCCATAACTTCTTCCTTTATCTTCAAATCTTTGACCTTCTGACCTTCACTTCCATCCTCTGATCTTTTTCTCTGCCTCCCTCCTGCGTTGGGCTGCCCGGATAATCCAGACTAATCCAGAATGATCTCTCCTCAGGATCCCTCATTCGGTCATATCCCATATTCGATCATGCCAAGTAAAGTTTACTGGGTCTGGAAATGTGGGCATCTTTGGGGGGCTATTACTTAGTCTTACAAACTAGAACATACTTTTAGGCAAGCATAGCAAGGTACATAATGGCATGAATGGAACGCTACCATTTGTGTTTAAAAAAATGGGATAGGTATCTAATCTATGTGTGTGTGTGTGTGTGTGTGTGTGTGTGTGCATACATATATATATATATATATATATATATGTATATCTGTATTCCCAAGTGTCTTTTCAGAGAAAGTCTATATACATATGAATATATACATATATATGTATATATATTCCCAGGTGTCTCTGAAAAGACACCTGGGAATCTGGGAACAGAGAATTTGGGGCTGAATGGGGGTCATGAATGGGAAGAAAATTTGCCTTTTGTAACTTTTTACTTTTTAAATAGAATAGGCTCCTATTCTATACAAATTAAACCCTGGTTCTGGTCTCTTTCTTACCAAACCTTCACAAGTCTTTTGATTGGCAGGTCCTTGTTGGTTTTACCTTTTGGTTACTAACTTATGATAATAAGAGAGAAACTAGGGGCATCTGGGTGGCTCAGATGGTTAAGTGTCTGCCTTCAGCTTGGGTCATGATACCGAGGTCATGGGTTTGAGTCCCGTGTTGGGCTCCCTGCTCAGCGGGGAGTCTGCTTCTCCCTCTCTCTCTGGCATTCCCCCCAAGCTCGCGCTCTTTCGCTCTTAAATAAATAAATAAATAAATAAAGGCTTAAAAAAAAATAAGAGCGAAAACAAAAGAAGGGTAGAAAAACCCAGTTTAATGATAATCCTTGAACTGGTGTTCAGTACCAAGGATAACTGAATATTGACTTGCCTTTCCCCTTCAGGACTCCAGGTGAGAGACAACTGAAACCGTGCCCCACAGGGTTAAGGAGGTTGAAACTAGAAGAGACTTTAAAGCTTGTTTTTCGGAGAACTGTTTCTCCCCAGTCCGCTATTGTGTGTCTTTTTTCAGAGCCCACTAACAAGTCCACTAGCTGTCTCTGCAGAAGCCTGGACTCAAGGTCAACTGATAGGGTTCTGGCCTCTAAAGCAGCGAGGAGGGCCTTGCATTCCTCCCCAGAGATAAGGAGCCCACGACCCGATCTGGTTTATACTGGCTCTCTGAGCTCGCCAGTAGCCCCTTCTCCCCGTCCCGAAATAATCTCCCGGCTCAGGGGATGAATTGAGCCTCAGTGTGATGTCGGTCTCCGCCCGAAATGAACGCGGGATGTCTGTTACATGTGTTCCTCATGAATCGCCATATATCCCCTCCATTTTCACCATGTTTGTAATCTCAACCCCTAGGATCATAAAAATCTTGTCATCTCCCCCTGCCGGGCGGCGGATCAGAGGCTTGCCCTCCAGTCTCCCCGTTTGGCTGCCCCTAGAATAAACTCCTTGCTATCAGCCTGATGTCCAGTGGCTGACAGGTGTGGGACCGGCTTTGCTACACATGGGGCAGAGACCTGGGTTTGGTTACGCGGCTGCTCTCCACCGCACAGACCCTCTGTGAAGGCAGGGCTCTTGGGGCCTTCAGCCCAACTTCTCTTGAAAGAGGCTCTTTGCCAAGATTCATTAGAAGGCAAAGAAAACCCTCTCCTGAGCTCTGGCGGATAGCACCGCTTTTCCCAAAATTCTTTGAGGAGTCGTAGGCAAGACATTTTTTCTAGTTGCCTTTCCATTGGAAGATCTGTTTCTCGGGCAGTATTGCCATTTCAGAGGCAGGACGACTTTGCAACCATCGTGTTCAGACTTCTCCTTTGAAAGCTGAGGAAACAGATGGATATGGATGAGATGAGCTCATGGTCAGTGCCAAGTGCAGCCCATGAAGCACAGTGAGGACTCCCTGCGCGGGGACAGCGTGCCAGGCATTGGGCGGGCCGCAGAGCTGAGGAGGGTGGCCTGCTCTGAAGGAGCTCCCAGCACCAGACTGCTGTTGAGAGGGGTGGATAAGGTGGCCTGGGGCGAGAGGCCGAGTTCCCAGTAAGTAAACGGCTGGTCTCATGGGGTGCACGGGGCTGCGAATGAAGTGTGACAGATGCGTTCGTGTGCGTCGGGAGCTGACGTCCCAGGACAGGGGAGCAGACCAGCATGAGGACACCTGGCGGATCGTGGGCTCCGTGGGCGGCTCTGTAGTTGCAGAGCAGAAAGAACAAGGAGGAAAGTGGACGAGGAAGTTGAGAAGTAGAGGGGCAAGATCAGGAAAGGTCCTGTATCTGGGTGGGTTTTTTTTTTTTTCTTTACAGAAATGTAAGCCCAAACTTTCTGTAAAGGGCCATACACCAAATGTTTTAGGCTTGGCAGTCAATACGTTATCTCTGTGTACCCGTATTCCTGATGTATTCTTGTACAGCTCATGAAACATGAAAAACCATTCCCTTCTTTTTTTTTTTTTTTTAAGTGGGTTTCATGCCCAGCATAGGTCCAAAAGCGGGGCTTGAACTTACAACCTGAGCTGAGATCAAGAGGCTGAGGCTTAACCAACTGAGCAGCCCAGGCGCCCCCATGCAAAAGCCATTCGTACCTTGCAAGCCGAATTTAGCTCACAGGTCATAGTTTGCTAACCTGTGTAGGCAATGAAAAGCCATCGGAGACTTTTTTCCCTACTCTTAAAAAAATTGAAGTGTAATTAACATACAGTGTTATATCAGTTTCAGACGTACCGTAGAGTGATTCAGCCATTCTGGATATGACGCAGCGTCGAACATGATGGGATGATGAGTGTACTTTTAACCCCCATCACCCATTTCTCCCACCCCCTACCCACTTCCCTCTGGGAACCATGGGTTCATTCTCTGTAGTTAGGAGTCTGGGTTTTTTCTTTTCCGTTTCTTTTTTTGGGGGGTGTTGTCTCTTGTTTTTCCTTTGTTCATTTGTTTTTTTCTTAAATTCCATGCATGAGTGAAATCGTACAGTATTCGTCTTTCTCTGACTTAGTTCACCTAGTGTATTACTAATCTCTAGATCCATCCATGCTGTTGCAAATGGCAAGGTTTCATGCTTTTTTTATGGCTGAGAAATATTGCATCACATATATACATGCTTATACACACCACATCTTCTTTATCCATTCACCTATCAGCGGACCCTGGGACTGCTTCCCGAACTTGACTATTGTCAGGCATGCTGCAGTAGACATAAGGGTGTATATATCTTTCCAAATTAGTGTTTTCATTTTCTTGTGCAGTAGTGTGATTATGGGCTCATAGGAAGGGAAGGGCAGAGGCAGAGGGAGATGCAGGCTCCTGCTGAGGAGGGAGTCCGACATAGGACTTGATCCCAGGACCCTAAAGGCCGATGCTTAACCACTGAGCCACCCAGGTGTCCCAGGATAATTCTATTTTTAATATTATGAGGAACCTCCATGCTGTCTTCCCCGTGGCTGCACCAGATTGCCTGGCCATTGGAGACTTCCAGGCCGGAAATGACGTGATCAGATCTGAGCTTTGGAAAGAGAACTCTGGTGACAGAGAGACTGGGGGCTGTAGGGAGAGCTGGGTGGGAGGGGATAGGTCCAAGAAGACCTCTAAGGAGGGTCATCATGATAGTCCAGGGAGAAATAATGAGGGCCAGGACCAGGGTGGTGACGTCACTTCTTGGCAGCCGGGTCCCTTGCAGATATGCAAGAATGACCAGATGTGGTGTTACCTTTCTCTCTCCCTCCTTCTCACAAGCTTCTTGGGACACTCTTCTTGTCCACTGGGAGTGAGGGGGACAAGTGTTGTCATGAGCTTCGGCCCCCTCTGTTTGGGCACAGCTTCACCCTGGGGGACAGTGCAAGCCCTCTGAGCAGGAGCCCCCTTTTCCTAGTAGCCCCAGGAACATGGTGGGGGGCTGGTTCAGGTCTCCCGCCTCCTGCTCAGACTCATACTGGGTTATGCTGACTCTCCTTTCCTTTGGGATCAAAGACGCTCGTTTTCTCTTTGAAATAAGCTTTTCCACAGAATTCTCTTACTGTGTCTGGCAGGCACCACATTTGGGCATTTATTCCAACTTCATTCTAATTGCCTGGACTGCAGCTCAAGTGTTGGGATTTTCTCCCCAACTCTTTTGTTCAGGGCCAAGAAGAGTTTCCTGTTTCAGGTGTAAAAGATCGGGCCGGAGCAAAGGGACCCTGAAGAGGGTTTAAGTCCCGTCTTTTCCTTCTCCGGGTGCTGATTACATCGTCCCTTCTTGTGGGAACGGGGCCGCCTCCCAACAGACCGTTTGTGTACATGCTCATTGCATGTTTTCTGTCACTTAGATTTCTGCTGCTGTTTATTGACCCGTTTCCCTTTTATCCCGGGGACCATCTCTTCTTCCCTTATCTGTCCGTTCCTGTTTCTCTGTAACTGCCTCTTTCATCTCTTCGGGGTTATCTTTCTCCCCCTAGGACATGGATACTTTTTTCAAGATTTTCCTGCCATTCCCAGGGTAGAATTCATGACCCTTTTACCTCTGTTTCCTCCTAAAATGCTTTATTGCAATTTCTTGAATTACATCTCTAATAAGTGGCTTAAACGTCTTGATCAGTGTGTGTTTTCGAATGCTTCAAATATAGATGACCACAGAAGAAAGATTTTCTACTTTCCTTTTTTCTGCTGTTTCCCCAGTGTAACAATTCATTGTGGGGTTTGGGGATATAAGGATTTGCCTTCAGCTGAATGGGAGAGGAGTGCCAGCCCCCATCCTTGTTGATGGGTCTTTGTTTTGGTGGTGAGGTCCCTCATTTACGTAACAGGTAGCAAAGTTTTTGGCCTAGAATGTTCCCTCCTTTTGCCATACCTGCTTTAGTCAGGGCCGGTCTTTATTTTCCTTCTTGTTTATGTACTTGATTATCGGGATCATTTTATGAATCTCTCCAAGCACGGAAGTCAGATATTCCAATCTGGACTTTAAACTCTTCACCCGAGATGGTACAGATAGGGTGAGTGACCTCTTACCTAGCCATGTAAGTTCCAAATAGGAACATTCTGTTCTGTGGTCCTCAGGGGCCCTGCGGTGACAGCAATGATGATGGTGGCCATAAGCGCTTTCGGCGACATTTATCCAGTGTTTACCATAGGCCAGATACTGTGCTAAGCTCTTCCTTCATGTACTTTATACGGCCCTCAAAGCAGCCCTCTTTAAAAAAAAAAAAAAAAGATTTTATTTACTTATGTGAGAGAGAGTGAGAGCAAGCATGAACGGGGACATGAAGCAGAGGGACAGGGAGAAGCAGACTTCCCGCTGAGCAGGGAGCTCAGTGCAGGGCTCCATCCCAGGACCCCAAGATCACGACCTGAGCCAAAGGCAGATGCCCAACCAACTGAGCCACCCAGGCGCCCCTGAGTTACAGACTTTTATCCTATCATTTTACAAATGAGGAAACAGGCTTAGAGAGATTGATGTAGTTACCCAAGGCTGGATGATGGCCCCGGCATTCAACTGTACTTATCGCGGCATTTGTCACCGGTTTGGATCACCACGCATACAGATGCATTTTCTTTAGGCATCATCAAAGGTTTTGTCAAGCACACGAATATTAGTCACAATGCTTAGGTTGGTCCCGTTTTGTGTTCTCAGCACTCATCCCTCCCAAGGAGTGTAATTCAGGATCTCCACTGTTTCTGGGATTAAGCTCCCCTTTGGGTAAGGAGCAACCAAGGCTGGCACTTCGCAGGAGGCATAGTGCCCCAGGCCCAGGAGACTTTCAGGGGCTGAAACAATGTTGCAATTTCTTTTAAGATCAGAAGACGAAAAATGAACTTCTAGATTAAAAAAAAAAAATGTTTTAGGGGCAGCTGTGTGGCTCAGTTGGTTAAGCAGCTGCCTTTGGCTCAGGTCATGATCTCAGGGTCCTGGGTACGAGTCTCACATTGGTCTCCTTGTTCAGTGGGGAACTTGCTTCTCTCTCTGCCTCTGCCTGCCACCCTGCCTGCTTGTGCTCTTTGTCTCTGACAAACAAATAAATAAAATCTTTGAAAAATGTTTTAATATGTAATACTAATATATTTGCCCTTATACCGATGCACTCATAGATGATAATTTTGATTAATTGATTGATTGAAGAAGAAACCCGCAAAGGCAAAAACACCAGGGCCCACGAAAGTCACAACAGGGCCCTGCCAGCCTTGCATGGAGCCCACATGGGGCTCTGGGCCTCCTAGTTTCACTTCTCTTCTCAGTCGTCTCCCCAGCATGGACGGGAGAGAAATCGCTGGGGTCACACCCTGTTCCTGGAGCCCTTCTATCAGGACAGTTGCTTATCTCCTCGGAGCACCCTCTTCCTCACTAGCATCAAGGCAAGATGAAACGCAACAATCCTAATCCGGAATGAGGGTTCGGCTGGTGTTAGTTCTTTTTCCAGCTGCCTCCTAGTTGCAGAAGTGGCCAGAAGCCGTGTGTGAAATACAGACTACGCAGGAAAGTAGTATGTAAAAGTCGTAACCAAACGACATGATCAGAGCCACCCAAATTAAAAGGTATTTTATTTTCAGGCAACACTGAACTCATGCCCTGAATTTTTGCCTGTAATCTTTTGAAATGTAGGTGGGGTCCTGGTTTAGGATTGAGTCACTGGGTCTAGAAACAGAGTGCTTGGGTTGGAACTTGGTTCAATCACTTACAAGCTGTGGAACTTGGGGAGTAAGTAGACCTCTCTGGGCCTCGGTTTTCTCATCTGTGTAGTGGGAGTATTCACTGTAACTGACCTTATCCAGTTGTTTTGAGGATTAAATGAGTTAAACAACGGGAGCTTCTAGAATAGAGCCCAGCATATGGTGTGAACTCAGTAAATATTTGTTATATTGTTGCTATTATTATAATTGACCAAGAGAATGAGCTTTTTTTCAGAGCTTGAGTTCTCAGACTTTCCCTCTGTATTTATTTATATTTTTTTATATGTTTATATATATTTTTATATTTATAATTTATTTATATCTTTCTATGTCTGGTCATTTACGAATCATATATGAGACCCCACTCTCTCTGATAGCTATTCTAGTTTTAAAAGTCTTTATTAT